GCCACAAGACACCTGCGAGGGGAGAAGGGGCGCGTGCGGGCTGAGCCCCCGCCAGCCGGAGGGCACGGGAAGGTCAGCGGGAGCGTCAGTGCCCAGATCACTTGGTGGTGACCTCGGGCCGGAGTGGGTCCTGGCGGTGCACGGGCAGAGGGCAGAGGGCAGAGGGCGCAAGCCTGCTGTGACCAGTGGTGTCGGAGCACAGGGGCCGCTCAGGCTACGGAGCGCCAGGCCCGTGGCGCTCGGGAGCCGCAGCCAGGCCGCTGGCCCACTCAGCCGGGGCAGGGTGGTCCCTGTTGCCTTCTAGCCCGGAAACCCCGCACTTCTGGGAAAATGTGGCTCAGGAGCAGCACTCAGTTCTTGGTGGCCGTGATCAAGGCCGTCGTGAGCACCCGGTGAGTGCTGAGCAATCCCTCCCGCTCCCTGCCAGCGGGGAGGGGGGCTGGGGGCCCCCACAGGCTGAGTGGGCCTGGGGAAGCAGGGGGAGCATCTCAAGAGGGTCACAGGTGCGCCTGCCTGCTCGCCCGCCCGCTCTGGGGTGCTTCCTTTCCACCAGGGGAGGTGCTCAGGGCCCGAGTCTCGGGCTGACCGAACCACCCCACAAGTGTGACGGAGAAAGCTGTCTTCCCCTGGTCTCTGCAGGTCCCCGAACCCGAGAAGCCACTTCACATAGGGGATGGGAACCCCACGGAGGGCCCTTGGCCAGAGGTTGGGGTGCATTCACCCACCCTGTAAGTCCAATTCAACCGGCTGTCCGGGCGACGACTGGCTAAGCTGTTCCAGGACGCTGTGGGCCCAGTTTTGAACAACGTGGTGAGGATGGCAGGGTCCTGTCGCTTCTAGAGATACCAGAGCGCTTCAGGGCTTCTGGGCCTTGTCCGATGCCTGGAGCTGTGGCAGCCATCTCGCGATGAGGAGGTCGGCCAGGCCCAGGGCAGTGTTTCCTGCAGCTCTAGCATGTGCCCTTGAAAATACCTGGGAACCGCTGAACCAGTGGGCGCAGGGGCCTGCCCTAACTGGGTGCCTGTTCATTCACCCTGTTCTGAGTGGGGCTTTATTTGCAGCCAGAGGCTTCCCAGTGGGTAGCTGAGGAGCCATTTGACATAGGAGTTGAGAACCCCACGGAGAGCACTCGGCCAGAGCGGGTCAGCTTGAGTGACCACAGCTGCCCCCTCTAAGGAGCGCGGCTCTGGGGAATGGCTACAGGTGGTGGCTGGCCCTGGGGTGAAAGTGAGGGCGAGAGAGGGGCTCCCGTGCCAGGCGAGGGGCTGCTGCTTCTCATCATGTCCCAGGAAGCCTCTCGTCTCTCTCCTGAAGAGAGAACCAATGCTGCGGCAGTATCACAAACTCCCAGGTAGGTCTGGGGCCAACAGCCTGCTCCCCCGACACGTCGCCTGACCCCGGCCTCGTCAGGAAGGAGTCCCTGTCTCCGTGCCGTTTCTAGAGCCCCAGCCTCTGCAGCAAAACCCTTCCGCCACGGTAACGGCAAGCTGCTGACACTGGCGCCTGCAGCGGAACCCCACTTTCCATGGCTTTGAGAGGCGGGCCCTTTAGACCACTCTCTACTTAGGGCTTCAAAGTGGTGGCCCCTCCTTGCCGGGGGTCAGGCTTGCCTGGGCCTGGCCTGCTCGCGCTGGGGTCTGCCAGGTGCAGATCTGAAAGCCCCTGGGTGCAGCATCCTCGCTGTCCGGGGCCTGTTATCATGGGGCCTCTCGTGGGGGGCCCAGAACTCTGGCGCGGGGGGCCTCTGGATGGCGCCTTGACGCAGGCACCGGGCCTGCCTCCCTGGCCTCGGGCACAGAGCTGTCCTTCACTGCCCGGACGCCCCAGCTCTCTCCACCTGCCCATCTCCACACTGATCAGTTTCGTTCAGACCAACGGCATCGGACTAGGCCAATGCCTAGGAGTGGGGATATTTGCCCCCCACTCCTCCTCGGCAGGCTTCTTCCCCGACTGGCACACCAACAGGCTAAATTTACCGAATCTCCGATGTCCAGTCCTCACCCAGGCTCCGGCTCCGGGGGTTTGGGGAGGGTAGGTTGGGGCAGGGCCTGGAAAGCCGTGTTTCGAGTAGCGACACGGGATTCTTGGGCCACGGCCTAAGAAATGCTCATTGAACCTTCGAAGCCATCTATGAAGCCGCGTGTGGCCAGCCTCCCAGGCGGCGCGACGGCCCTGCCTCCGGCGTCTACAGCTGGAGCCCCCTGCACCGACCCAGGCCGGCCTGCGTGGCAAGAGAACCCCGTGGAAGGCACAGGGCCTCTTCCCGGGCTTGCAGCCCCTGCCTGGGCGCTTAGCTGCCACGTCGTGAGGACGGGCCAGCAGCCCGGCACAGGCCCCGGCAGTGGCCAGCTCTGCTCGCCAGCCACGGGGAGCCCATCTTGGAGGACCCTCCAGCCCCCACATCCCTTGGGTGACCGCAGCCCCGGCTGACCGCGAACCCCGCGAGAGACCCAGGCACGGGAGCCACCCAGGCAAACGTCACCAAATTCCATTCTAAGGCACGAAGCCCTGGCGTCCATTGACGTTATTACCTTCACGTCCACTTACAGACTCTCGCGGAAGAGTCCTCTGGTTTCCTGAGTGTGGCGACTCAAGCCCAGGCCAGGCTGAGCCCAAAGCCAAGGCCTTTAACAACTGCAGTCTGGGCTGGAGATGCCATTAAAGACAGCAGGTGCCTTCCCCTGTCTTTGTGGCAGGGGGATACCGGGCCTGGGGTGAGGAGTCACCTTGGCCAAGGTCACGCGGGTGGTGCTCCCTGCCTGGTTTCCGCCCGCCTGGGTTTGGAGGGGGACTCCGGCCTCCAGGGGCCTGCAGACGAGCCAGGTCTCACACCTCTGCGGTGGCGGTGGGGAGACGGGCCTTTGGGGTCTCTCGGGGCGGCGGACCAGCCAGGGAGGGGTGGCCCGTGCCTGCACCAGGTGATGGGGGGCCTCCGCTTCCCCACGGGCCTGACCCCGTCCTTGTCCTGGGTCTTGCCTGCTATTTCTCCTGTCCTCTCCTGCTTTTCTTCTAACTGCTCCTGGCTTTCAGGTCGTCAGCCGAGAGGCCCCTCCTCCAGGAGACCTTCCTAGACCTCAGTCAGTGCCCCTGGGGCGCCCAGGTCAGCTCTGGACTCTAAACTGGCCCTGACCTAAGCCTACCTCCTCTGCCAGGCCTTGCTGGTCTTCCCATTTCTCCTGGTCTCCCCACTCCCCGCTTTCCTGGGGTCCCTGACTTCGGAATTTCCGTTTTCCCTGCAGGACCCGTTCTAGGGCCTGCAGACAGTGTCGGCACCAAACTGATGGTCCACACCGGGCTTCGGTGGGCGGCAGGCGCTCAGGTGGGCTGAGTCTGGGTGCCTCCCCCGCCTACATCACGGGGCCACCTGCTGGGGATTCTGGACTTCTGACCTCGGGAGCACCAAACCCAGGCCTCCAAGGGTCTGTTTTTGATTGTATCAGGAAGCTTCCGTTTCTGGCACCCCCATATTGCAGCTTGGAAACCGGGGCCCAGAGCAGTTTGGGCACTTGCCCCAGATCACAGTTCCAGAGGTGCCAATTTCCCAGCTGACCCCCCCCCATGAGCAAGCAGCTCAGCACCCCGCCAGGACCGAGCCCGGGAGCCGAGGGAGGGCAGTGCAGGCGGGCGCCGTCGGGCCGGCTGGCACCCTGCGTGGGCGACCG